AAAATTTCACACGTTGTAGAACTTCATAAAATTTCGACGAATTTTAACAAATGTTGATAAAAATTGTAAGCAGTTAATTCGACTTTTTAGAATTGTTTGCATGCAGTTTTGTAGTCCATTAAACTTTAGTATAAGTGAAGTTAGTTGAAGTAGCTAAGACTTACCGCTGATTTTAAGACAGTTTTATTTAAAACAACTGTTGAAGTACACTCTAAAAAAGTTTTGTTTAAATTTGCGCATATTAAGATAGGTAACCAGTTTCCTCTCTTAATGAATGCAAATTTAAACATTGCTTGCTTACTTTTACTTATCATATGTGTGGCGTAGAACAAATTTCAAATTTGTTTTTTGAGTTTTAAACATTTATTGTTCACATTTTCACAGTTTACACATAAAATGTTTAAAATTTCCTCTAAATAATTTTCGTTTAAACTTACGCATATAAAGAGAGGTAACCAGTTTCCTCTCCTAGTGTGTGCAAAATTAAACAATGTCTGTTTACTTTTACATATCAAATTTGTCACGTAGCGCACACAAGGGGTAGGTTTTGGGGCTAAATTTATTATGATATAAGAAATTTTGAAAGAAAAAATTTTCTTTTCCATTTCTTGTGCGTCATTTTGTAAGAATTTTTCTTTTTTCTTGAGAGCTCTTTAAAGTTTAACTGCGAATGGAAACATTGTCCTAAAAATATGCAATGCATACTAACTTACTGTTGCTTTTTACACTTTACAGCCTAAAAAAGTTTACCACTGATATGTACTTAGGGCCGGTTGTTCAATGTCTGATTAGCACAAATCGGAGGTAGAAGCTCCGGTTAAGCACAACTACTGCTTTATCGATCACATGTTACATGCATGATGTCGAAATCGTCGATAGTGTAGTGGTAGTGATAACCAGACATTGAACAACCGGCCCTTAATAAGCATTCGAAGATTTAATTTGCTAACTTCGAATTCGTTCCACCAAAATGAGATTCATGATAAAAATACAAGTTCAGTTAAATTTTCGTTATTCGAATTATTAAAAAATGAAAAACCAGAAATCGACGAAAATTAAAAAACAAGTGTAAAAAGTTCGTGAAATTATCTAATTTATTTATATCAAAATTCTTTTGTAAAATTTTGTATTACTTTTGAAAGTTGAGTGCATCTTTAACCGTTAATTTTTTCATGATTTAATGATCGGATCTAAACCAAATTACGAGACGACCCTTAAGGTACCATCTTTCCGGTAAAAAAAAATAATTATTGGAATCGGTTCACGCGGTACAAAGTTATGCGGTGGAATAAATAAAAGAAGTAAAAATACACCGAAGAATTGATAACCTCCCTTTTTTGAAGCCGGTTAAAAATGTCTGAGTTCTTTGTAAATTTTATGTAAATAAAATGCAATTGATGATACTTTGAAAAGTTTATTTATTTATTTCATACTGTAAATAAAACTTTCATAAATGTATTTTAAA